TCTGAAAAACAGTGCATTAATCGGCTTCATTAAGAACAAAGATGCCCCAGCCTGGTGGGGATTTTCGATTGCAGCTTTGATGTTTGTCTGTGCTGTGCTGCAGACACTCGCAGTTCACCAGCATTTCCAGTACTGCTTTGTTACTGGGATGAGGCTGAGAACTGGGATCACTGGAGTCATATACCGCAAGGTAAGACTGGAAGCATTTCATGGGCTGGAACACCAGTGTGTAGCCAAGCAAGTGGCCTCAGCTCTCAAATACTCAGGGAAGAGCAGGCGTATTGAATAAGAATAGCCTCCCGGAATATAAAACATTGGGGGTTTGGTGAGTTTTTGTGAGTACCACTATCACACTTTACAGAAGTTTCTAGCAATCAGCAAATTAATGGGGGCGTACTGGTAGGTCACGGGACGTATCAAAGGCAAACATTGGTTCACTTTAAGTGTTTGGAAGAGAGATCCAGGAGAATAGTCTGTTTATGTTGTGAGTTGATTAGATGCAACTAGATTTTCTTCAGAATGCTACGTACTGCTTGGGATGGAGGTGCTCACAAGTAAACCATTTCATGAAGTCTTGTTCTTTGGAGACTAGGAACTGATGTAGGTGTGAATTATTTTCTCCTTGTTGGAGAAGCAAATTCTCTAGGAGTGTCTTGTTTTGCTAATAATTGAGGATTTCCTCTCTGTGTTCCTCCACACAAGACTGTGAATCCACTGAATGTCTCTGATTTCTCAGTCCTTAGTCATCACAAACTCAGCAAAGCGCTCATCTACTGTTGGAGAAATTGTCAACTTGATGTCAGTGGATGCCCAACGTTTCATGGACCTGATGATTTTCCTGAACATGCTGTGGTCTGCACCACTCCAGATATTTTTAGCTTTGTGTTTCCTCTGGCAGGTACAGACATTGTCACATTTTTTCAGAATTCATCTAAATGATGTGCAAGCTTGTAATTTGTTATTAATTTGACCCACCACTGTTTTTTTAGAAACTTACTTTTCTGCCTTGTAGTAAAATAGCTTTTACTGATGTACATGATCAATTAATCTCTCAATTATTTTGTTCAGCTGGTAGGCAAGATAAGGCATCTGAAGCAAAAGACAGCCTTTATGTTTCATCTGTCCCTACCATGCTTTGATAGGATCAGCTTTGGACTCAACACAGTGTTCGCTGTAGATGACATGAATAAGAACTTGAGGGAAATGGTTTAAAAAGCAGCCAAACAACAACAACAGAAGACCCTGGACATAGGAAATATAAGCCATGTGTAAACATTGTATCATGCCGTATAAAGTTCTGTGCAAGTCAACATGAAACAAATGTCACCTGGAATAACCATAAAAAAATTATGCTTTGCTACAGTGAAACTGCTTCTGGTTTATTCCACATTCATCCTGAGCACTGATTTTCATCCTTAAAATGTTTCTATGCAATTAATCTGTTTTATTGCATAAAACGGTAGCACCAACTTAGCCATATTGATTTAGACTTGAAAGCCATTAGGTCTCAGCAGCTTTTATGAGTTATTGCTCCACTGGTAAGCTGAACTCTGGTAACTAGCAGTTTCTACACTTTTACTCGCATTAAGGGTACTGGGTTAATTCAATAATTACAGTTCCCTAGGTCAGGGAGAAGTCAATGGAAAAATTCCTTCTCTGTGGCTTATTTGTTCTTTTTCTGTACTTGTATTAGTTCAAACTTACTTTCCCCTCCTGCTGGGAACCACCTAGCAGGTAAATCAGAAAGCTCTCTGCTATCACTGCTACGAACTTAATGATGGTTCAAGGTGGATGCTGTCCTATTTTGCTGTCTCCTCCTCATAGTTCTCTGGAACCAGAACACTTCCCTGGGAGGAGTTTGTCTGTACAAAACATCCATTTCTGTTTCTATAATCTATGGTTATTTTAATGGTCACTGTAGGGAACAGCAGCACTTGGGTACGACAACAACTTACTTTTTTTCTTTCCATCAAGGAATTAGGGGCCTCTGTGCTGGCAGGAGTTGCTGTGATGGTTTTACTTGTCCCATTTAATTCTGCAATAGCAATGAAAACCAGAGCATTCCAGGTAAGGCACGGGCAGAAAAAGTGAATTATCTGAAGTGGGAGCTGTGCTATGTCAGTGGTTGTCTTGACCATTGATGAGCTGCCATTTGCACCAATTTACTTACGAGTGAGATTGTACTGATATATTTAATGACTGTATTTACTCGGGTAGTTTTTCCATAGTGAATTGAAAGCTGTTTAAGGGAAAGGTGTGGGATTGAGTCAGTGACTCTGGAGAAGCTTTTGGGATTAGCGACAAGTTTCTTTGTCTCCATATCCCTTCACCTGGTAGCTGCTTCTAGGTGTGCCTAGAGAAAAGGTAAATAAATGCAGTTCTTTAAGCTGTGAATGTCTGTTTTCAGAGATGGGAACTGAAACCTGGAGCTTGTATCTTATTCTAGTAGTTGGTGTTGACTTTCCCTTCGAGTGAGCTGGGCTAAATTTGAATTATTATCTTAAAGTAAAAGGATCCTTTATTCCTTTCTTTGTAGTCTTAGTCGTCTCTAGGCAAGGAAGGCTGAAAAAAACAATAGAATAGTGCCCTCTGGCTTTGTGCTAGGAAAAAAATCTGAAGTGGCGTGTGCTATGTGACCTATCAGAGACTGTTTGGAAGATTTTAAAAAAAATAAAATCAAGTTCTTGATGTAACAAAGGTAAGGGTTGGAAAATGAATGCAAATTGTGACATTTAAGCACAGCCTTGGTAACAGAGTGGTATTACTACATGCCTTAAAGAGACAGCCAGACTTCCCAGTAAATCACTTGGATGCTGATGTGTTAGTATTAACATTCCTTTTCTCCCTTGCCCATTGTAAGATGCTCAGAGCTGCATAATTTGGGGTATGTGTGTGCGTTTGAGCGCAGTTTTTCATTTTATCTACACCACTGAGCAGGGTGGGGTTTTTGTGTGTTTCTTTTTTGTTTGGTTTGGGGTTTTTTTTACATAACTGAATGAAGCACTGTTTTCTAGTCCATAGGGAAAAAAAAAAAAAAAAGAACAAAATTAAACTAGAAGTAACCACAATTTTCAAGGGACGCCCTAAGAAATACAACTCTACATATCAGGAAAAAAAAAAATCTCAAAAAATCAAAGGAAGAAGTAGGGTAGTATTTTTGTGAAGTGCTTGAATCTTTCTTTAAGGTGGTTTTGAAAACGTGACCCCTAACGGTGAAGATGAGTGGAAAGCCGTTTTCTTTGATTTTCTTTGGAAGCATGGGCTCGCACAGGAAGCTTACTGATAACAGTCTGGTTCTCTTTAATTACCTTTTGCATCCTCTTTAGAATTAGCCTGAGGACCATCACAGCTGTGAGAAAACATGTTGAAAGCTCTTTTCTTGTCGTTCCTGTGACACGCTGTCTCCTATGTTTACTAATAACCTAGGTGGAACAAATGCGATATAAAGACTCCCGCATTAAATTAATGAATGAGATTCTGGGAGGCATAAAAGTGCTGAAGCTGTATGCCTGGGAACCATCGTTTTCAGAAAAAGTGTTGGAGATACGAAAGAATGAGCTGCGAGTTTTGAAAAAATCTGCTTATCTCAATTCTGTGTCCACCGTTGCATGGATCAGTGCACCATTCCTGGTAAATTGAATTTGCATGACTTTCTAAGCTGTACAAGTACATCCTTGACAGATAAGTGTGAGGCTTTCTGCTTGCTAAATGTACATAGGAATAAAATGTAAATACTTAAAAAAAAAATAATACTCACATGCTTTGAAGCAAAGTTCCCTCTTCTCCAGAGCCTTTTTGTTAATCGGTATTAAAGTATTTCTTGATAAAGCCTGCCAGTGGAAGCTGGGAATAGCTGTCTCGGGAGAATTTCCAACCACTTCAAAGTACTTCCCATAACAAATTGAAACTAGAATTTGAAACCTCAGAGATATTTGTGAATAGCAAAAATAGCAAAAGAAGAATTTAATTGAGTCAGTCAGGACAACATCTGTCTTAAGTTCTCGTTTTTACCTTTTGTGTTATGGTGTTCTGCTCGTTTCAGTGGGAGAGGTTGTTCAATTATCCTGCAACCTAAAAAAGAGATTAATCTAATGTAAAAAGTAAAGCCCAAATGATACATTGCCAATTCTGAAATGCTTTTTCCTCAGTTTTCTCCTTCCCTCTATTTTCCACTTCATTGCACCGTCATCCCTTTTGCAGAAAGGGTTTTGGTGAATAAAAACATTCAGATAAGCGCTGTGTCAAAAACATTCCTAGCCAACTGTTCTCGAGATCAAAGGCCCAACCTTAAGAAATATTCTTAACGGCCTCAAGATCCTGCCTCTTTCATGTTCCCTTAAAGTTAATGCACTTCCTTAAATGCAGGCTCCCAGTCCTGCTCACTGTTAGTTTACTGAGTAGGAGGGTCCCTCCAGAGTGGCTGGTCCCTGTCCTACAGTGAAGCAGCAAATAACTTGGATTTTACTCCCTTTCCCTAAAAGTCTTGTTTGCTTAGCCTGCAGTTTACGATGGGAAAATTGGGTTGAGTGGAGTTGGAAATGCAGCCAAATTGCAGCCAGATAACCACTTCTCATTTTTATTTACTCGGGTTCTATCGTCTTGAATCTCCCAGCTCAACTGAACGTGGCCGTTGGTAATCTGAAGGTGACTCTATTCCACGTGCCCTTTTTTCTGTCCATGTGTTCGTAATGACTTGTCATCCTTACAGCATGTTAAAAAGGTCAGAAGTGGAGAATTTGCCCAGTTTTGGTTTTGGTGCTTTTATCTCAAATATGCCTACGAGTCTTGACTGCTTTTTAAAATGTCGAAATATTGCATCTGACTCACAGTAAACTCGCTTTCTGACTTTCAGGTATCATTGACGACGTTTGCTGTGTATGTCTCGGTGGGTGAGAAGAATGTCCTGGATGCAGAAAAGGCTTTTGTCTCCCTTTCCTTGTTTAATATCTTAAAGTTTCCCCTCAGTATGCTTCCACAAGTCATTAGCAGCATTGTGCAGGTAAGGAGAATCTAGTGCACAAGTTGTTTTGAACAAAAAGAGCCGCGGATGTCCCTGGTTTCTGGAATGCAGAGATGCCTTGCATCTGCCTGTTAGCTGATTTTCTTTCTAATATCTTTTCTCTCCTGCTGCCCTGTGTTGGCAAGCCTGACATCTTCTGAGGAAGCTCATCTGTGTGAATTCTGCATCACTTGGATGAACTCAGCTTGGTCTGAGAAATTTCACAGTTAAATGCTTGAATTTCAGCATAAGGCTGATGGCAGAGAAAAAAAATGAGTCGCTGTTCAGGCTTAAGCCATTCTGCATGCTTTCTTTTTTAGTAGTAAGAACATTAAGTCCCCATTAAAAGAACGATAAAATAATGCTGCGCTTTTTTTCTTAGACAAGTGTTTCTCTAAAGAGAATTCAGCAGTTCCTGAGTCATGATGAACTTGATCCAAATTGTGTGGAAACGAAAGTGATTGCACCAGGTAAAGACATCAGTACTTATCTAAACTATGCTAATACAACAAGCATCATGTGTTTGTTTTGGACTGGTAGAGTTATGAAAAGAAATGAAAGGAAAATAACAATAATAATCTTTGTTTAAAAAAAAGAAGAAGCTGCTGCTTTGAAATGTATATGTTTATTGTTCAGGCTGTGTGCAAATTACAAAAGCTTCTGGCTATGTTTTTGGGCTTTGAGCTGAGTTATTGGGCCTGGGATTGCATCTGCAGCGTTTTGGACGCTGACAGCACTGAATAATGAAATGCATCCACTTACTGGGGGCAACAAGACCTGCTCAAACCTTTCTCACTGCACAAATGCTCAGGAATGTTGTTTTGATGTCTTCTGTTGGAAACAGTAATCCAAAACAAATGAGAAAGCCAGGTGGTCTCAAAACTTGTGTTTTGTCGTGTCCTGCATTTTGGTGATGCTGCAGTTTGAAACTTCTCTGGTGTGTGATGAGGCAGACAGAGGAGGAGGAGGAGGATGGCTGTGTGGTGGCTCTCATGAGATTGCTGTTAAACACCACCCACCAGGAGATAAAGAAAGCCGGGCAGAAGCAAATTTAATCTGATAGACTGAATCAACAGCGCGCAGTGGTCTCCTCCAGACTTGAAAGTGGTTTCTTGAGTAAAGTTGTGGTAGCAGTTGCATGGGGATTCTGAGCAGCAAATGTCAGGATGGCCCTCGCTAGGGCAGGGTGAAGCAGGACAGCTTTTCAGCCCCAGAGGTCTGTAAGCTCAAGGTCTACAGCTTAAGCTGCAATCAGTTACTTTTACTATGGACAAGCCTGTCTTGTGACCCACAGTCATGAGACTCTGCTTCCCAGGCCTTTAGAAAAGGGAACTGCAATGTACATGAAACACCCATGAATAAAGATTCCTCTGTCTGCCAGTCCCTCGACTGTGCTGTTCTCTGTCCTACATTTCCCTATTGTTGTGTTTTTGTCACCCAGGCAGTGCCATCAGTGTAACAAATGCGGCGTTCAGCTGGGGAAAGGAGCTGAAGCCATCTCTGAAAGAGTAAGATTTCTTTACGCAATTGCAATACAACATCTACCTGTTTCCTGGTTTCTGGCTCCTGGGAGATCTGTTTGAAAGGTGTCTAGTGATATCTGCAAGCTCACTTCTGGAAAGGGTTGTTTCCACACATCCTATATGTGCATGTCTTCTGCCTCTAAAACAACGAGCTGATCCTTCTGCCTCGTAGTGTTTAGGCTTTACAGAGCAGTGCTGTAAGTCTTTGACAGCACAGTGATCTCGGGTTTAAAATCAAAACCCAAAAGGCTCCTGGAAGATTGTCTGCTTTCAAAATGCTTCTTAACCCTGTTTTACTTGCTGATGGACCAGTATGGGGGTCTAAGAAGACCCCAGCAAGGGGTCTAAGAAGTCTTTCTGCCAATGCTACTGATTTGATGACCAGCAAGATAGATTAGTGCTGGGTTTCCATTTACTCCTACAGTTCTGATTAAAGTTGATTGTACACAAGAAAGGGAGGAGAAGACCAGTGCCCAGGCTATGCTTGCTATATCCAGCCAGGCTGAGGTCAGGCTGGTTTTTGTCACTGTGTATTTCAGCCCTGGTTTAAAGACCCATAATGTCTGTAGTAAGCTAGTGTTTAATTAATTTCCAGCCTGTTTCCTCCACAGTATAAATCTCTTGGTCCCAAGTGGCGCTTTGGTTGCCGTTGTTGGCCATGTTGGCTGCGGGAAGTCTTCTCTGGTGTCTGCTCTCCTGGGTGAAATGGAAAAGCTGGAAGGAGAAGTGGCTGTGAAGGTTGGTATTGTTTATGATGCCATTTAATGATGGTAGGGAAATGTGCTGCTTATGCCTGCCATTCATGATAACGTACATCAGGCTGGAGAGGGAATTCTGTTTGCTCCTATGCCAGCCTGTCTGCATGTTTATTTGGGTTTTGCCAACACCTGTTCAGTTGTGTTTTATATAAAATAGCTCTCCTGATTCTACTGACTCTACATCATCAGGTAGTGCACTGTGTGCATAATATGATTGTGTATCGAACAGGAGCTCTCTCTGTGCGTTGCAGGTTCTAGTCAGAGCTGTAAGCATGAACTGCAGCTTGTTAGAACTCAGAGGTTTCCTTTCTTCCCTCCTTGTTCAAGGGTTCTGTGGCTTATGTGCCTCAACAAGCTTGGATCCAGAATGCCACACTGAAAGATAACATTTTGTTTGGCCAAGCTCTTAATGAACAGAAATACCAAAGTGTCCTGGAGGTCTGTGCTTTAAAAACTGACCTGGAAGTTCTGCCAGGAGGAGATCGAACTGAGATTGGAGAGAAGGTAATTTTATTTTTCTCAGGTGAGATATGTTTGGTGATTCCTGTTCTGCCTAGCTAGAGAGAGATTGCTGGAAAATCAGCACTACAGCTACAATCACCACCGAAACATGCAGGGCAGTTTTGCGGAAGGCGATTGGGCTTAAACTTGCTCCAAACTTCAAGCGTGTGTTTGTACTGCGATGTGTAGTTGCACATCTAGCTTTGGATGATCAGAGCATCCTCTGTTTGTTACCCAATTCTAAAAGTGCATTTGTCCAGAATACTTAAAGTCCTTCCTTCTCCTGTAGGGATAAAAAGGGAGGGAACATATGGTGTGTGTCAAGTGAAAAAGTGATGTGATCATCCCTTAACACCTCATTTTGATGAGAAACTTTTACATCGGTGATTACCAACAAAGGTTGTTTTTTTTTTTAACATAGGCCACTAAATTTGAGATGGATGGTATGAAGTGGGGTGGAGATGTGAATTTATATGTAAGATGAGAGCTGTGGAAGATGTTCCAGGTGCTGCTTTGAATGTTTGCATTTTACATCCTGGTTGACTGTCTTAATTTTAATAGTTTTGCATTTTACCAGCTCCCTTTAGGAGCTTACTAAGCAAGAGGCTTACTCCCTCTCCAGATTGCTGGGTGAGTGGAAGTTTGGCAGTGAGCAAACAGATTTAGAGGCGGTTCTGTTCCTGTCTCTGGCTCGGAGTTCGTTATTCTCTTCAGCGTCTCATGTTTCAATTTAGCATCCGTGTGTTTGACTGGGTGAGAGCCATAAAAAGTCATAGCTGCTGCTGGAACAGAATTGTGTGCTATGTTTTGTTCTCTCCTCTTGCCTTTCAGGGCATCAACCTCTCAGGTGGCCAGAGGCAGCGCGTGAGCCTCGCTCGGGCGGTGTACAGCAACTCGGACATTTACCTGTTAGATGATCCTCTTTCTGCTGTGGACTCGCACGTTGCAAAGCACATCTTTGACAAAGTTATTGGCCCAGATGGGGCACTTAAAGGGAAAGTAAGCTGGCGTTTGGATCCTCTTAAAAATGCACACCAACTCAGAAACACTGATGGGGAACAGGGAAGCTATTTCGCCACCGAGGCTCGAGTGCTGAATCATTCCTGATTTTCTGTGCTAAATTGGCAACATGGGCACCTTTTCCCCACAGCACAGCGAGCTGCTATCCCGGCATGCCCAGAAGTGATGTGATCTACTTCAGAACGTGTAGAGGCAGAAACCTGCTCTGTCTTTTCAAATCCCTGCTATGAGATCTCCAAAACCAAGACCTTTGCAGAAACCTGTAAAGGTTGTCAGCTTAATATTGCTTGTTGTTACTCGGAGGCAGTGCAGGGAGGAAGTTGTAACAGCTTCCTGATTTTCCGGAGGTCTTTGGCAGTGTGCAGCCAAACTGCAACCTCTTTGCTTCCACTTCTACTCCTGTTACGATCTTCTCACACTATCTTAGAGGTCAAAGGGGAAGGGCTGCAAAGAAAATCATCACAAGGGAAAGGGGGAATGGTAATTCAGTTGGTTTACTTCCCTCTGTGGCTGTGTAGTAGGAAGCCCAGTAAGTTCATGTGCAGATTTCCCAACTAATTTAGCTAATAAAGACAGTCTATTTCCTCAGGAATTTCACTCTCTGTCCCAAAAATGTGGCAGTGTTTGGCTTGCTGGGTAGGGTTTGTCCCCACAGTGACAACTGAGAGATGGGGGGGGGTGTTCTTTTCTTTTTTTCCTATCCAGACCCGAATTCTGGTGACCCACAGCATCAGCTTCCTGCCTCAGGTAGACCATATAGTTGTCCTGGTAGATGGCAAAATCTCTGAAATGGGATCTTACCAAGACCTTCTGAAACAAAACAAGGCTTTTGCAGAATTCCTGCGAAATTATGCACTTGATGACGACATCGCAGAGGATGAACCAACAAGTACAGTACTGCTTTTTCTTAAAATGCATTTTTCTGTCAACGAGATTACAGATATTTTTCTCTGTCTAAAGTGTTCCCTGCTTCTTCATGACAGCCTGGCATTTGCCATTCTGTACTACCACGAAAATTATTGTCTGTGACCCTCTCAGTATTATTGATAAATGCTTTCAGAAGTTTGTTTCAAAATTTCATGTGGCTTGTCTTAGGGAAAAAGCAATCCTTGTGTTAGAAATTATTTTAAAGTTGGGAATTTATTTTACAATTAGCAAGGTCAAGCTCAGCAGGAAACTGGAGTAGGCAGGAACAAACTGGGCTTGCTATCAAAGGGGGTACCCAGAGTCTGGTGGTTTTACTCTTTTTATATGTTGTAGTTTTTTTCATGTAGCAAAGTTGAAAAGACATTTTAATCTTGGGGTACTTTTCAGCTTGGTTTGACGATAAAATTATAGAAGATTAAAGCATTTTGGTAGATGTTTCTTCTGTTCCCAAGCTCTTTGATTGCAACACTGCTCCTCTCCAGACAGGCTGAGAGGAACATGCGTGACATCTTTGAGCAGGAGCAGAGGCTTGCAGTAGTTTCTGATATGATTCTCCCATCCCATAATCATGCCTAGAGCATTGCCCTATAAGTAAATTTAACTAGAGCCAGTTGTAACACTGTTGCTTAACGTTTCTGATGCACAACAGGAATGTGATGTAAATGCATCTGGCAGCCAATGAGCCTTAAAAGATCTCTGCAACTCAGTTAGCAGCAGTGATGCACAGAAGGGATGTAAGCAGAACTATGGGGGAGTTCATGCGCTGTGATTTTGCTGCCTGGTATTGCTTTTAGGGCTTTTGCTTTCTATAGCCACGTTTTTCTGTGCTTTCTGCTGTATTCAGCAGAAAACCTGAGGTGTGATCTTGTCTTGCAGTGCTGGAGGATGAAGAAGTCCTGCTAGCTGAAGACACCCTCAGCATCCACACCGATCTGGCAGATAATGAACCAGTGACGAATGAGGTCCGCAAGCAGTTTCTTAGGTAAACGCGTGTTTATAGTCTGGCTCGGGGATGAAACACAACTGAAAGATGTCAGTCACATACTACTTCTCAGTCTGGGCTTTAGTCTCCATAGTTTCCTCTTGTAGAGTAAGTAGTTCAGTGCCCTTTTGAAAATAAACATAGAGGAACATGCGAAGAAGACCCAACACCTGTTCCTGCAGCCCTCGCTTTAATCGGAACTGAACCAATTTTTTAAAGCGACTCTCTGGTCCTCAGGTAGTGCCACCGTGTGTGTTTACCCACACGGCACTAAGCTGCTCCCAGCTGTGTGATAAAGAAACCCTTTGCATGGCCCCTTTCCATTGGGAATCTTGGAAATCTTTAAAAGTTTTTGTAACCATACCCGCAGGTGCTGTTGATGTGAATTCAGGGAAGCTCGGGGATGTGTCTTGCAGGGAAGCCTCTAAAGGCCTTTGCCCAGTCTGTGTTAGGTACCAGTTTTCTGGCATCGCTGAACATTCGGAGAGGTGGCACAAGCCGGCAGAGCTGTGAACAAGGCTGGCAGGGGAGCTCGGCGGAAGAACTGGGAATAAATCCAATCTGCTGCATCCCAGTCTTGCCTCAGCACTGCCACAATATGCCCTTTTTCTCCTAATGACTCTTTTTGTTTTGACTAGGCAACTTAGTGTAATATCTTCTGAGGGAGGAGAATGTCCCAACAAAATGTCAACGAAACGAAAAGTCTGTGAAAAGAAGCCAGCAGAGCCTCCTCTGCCAAGAAAAAATCCTAACGAGAAACTTATTCAGGCTGAAACCACTGAAACGGGAACGGTATGGTTTGATTCCCCCCTCCCTTTTTTTTCCTGTTTGAAAATTTTTCTTTTTATATTTGATTCTGCTCTGTTAAAAGATCTGTTAAAATCATGGCTGCAGGCATTAATGTGGTGACCGCTGATCATTCAAATTTGGGCTTTTGGCAGGGGTTTCCACACCTGGCAGGGAATATGTACTTAAAGAAAAAAAAAAAATTAAAATCTCTTCCAGCTCTTGTCAGTCACTTGATACCACGTAGCACTGCGCTCCATCAACCCTGCCTTTGCGCTGCAGAGCTTTCAGCACTGTTGGTTTTTAAACTCTTTGGCTGCTGCTGAGTGGAGCTGCAGCCCTGGGTGTTTCGTGACTGCAGAGATGGGTGGTAGGAGCCAGCTGCCTGCCAGCGGGGCTGGTCTGCCTAAACGATACCTGCCACTCCCTCCTCGAGAGCCTTTTATGCTTATGGGTGCAGAAGGGCCAGGGTTGGAAATGGGAGCAGGGAAGAAAAGGAAGAAAGAGAAGTGGGAATAAAAAAGTAAAACAAAAGGCAGAAAGGAGCCGTGGATGGAATAGGAGTCTCGGGAGGTTTTGTCAAAGAAAGCCCCTTCCCTCCCCTTCAGAAGGCTCAGTGTGTCCTCTTTAGTCTGATGTACGTGGTCCATGGCGCAGACACGTAATTAACTGTTTCTGTGGATTATTTTAGCTTTCAGTGTCCCTAATTAACATTTGTTCTTTTAACTGTTCCTTCTTATGCTTTAGAAGCTGAGTTTTGTCCTCACTCTGTTTCTTTTTACTGCTCTGCCTCTTTGTACTACCTCAGAGACAGTGTCTTTACTTTTTGCCACAAGCATCATGTCTTTATATTCCTTTTGGGGTGCACCAGCATTTGGTACATCGTTTAAGCTGCTGTAAAGACACCTGAATGGAGGCATATTCAGCACTTTTCCTCAAATAGGCCATTTAAAGTAGTCCTGAGCTCGATATGCCTGCCAAATTGCTTCTTTTGCCTGAAAAACTTGGCTTCTGTTCTCGTTACCCATTCGTTGCTGCTATTTGATCAGTCTCTTTTCTTTTTTTTTTACCTCTCCCTTTCTGGCATAGTCTTCAGAACTAAAACCGCACGAAACTAATAAAATGTGGTTCCTCAAAATGGAGGAAGAGAGTATCACAGAAATTTCTGGCTTGTTTTGAAAGTCATTGCCGTGACATGGAGCTCAGGCAGAGGAACTGTGGGGTGTTAGAATTGGGGCAATTTTGAACTTAGCAGTTCCTCTGCAGAAGAATTTTTCTTTATTTCTTTTCCCTCTTATTCTGTCTGAACTCCTGATTGTGCAAGCTGTACAAACCAGCTTTGTTGTGTGATTTTGCAGGTGAAGCTGACAGTGTTCTGGCAATACATGAAGGCTGTTGGCCCTGTCATTTCTTTAGTGGTATGTCTCCTATACTGCTGTCAAAATGCTGCTGCCATTGGGGCCAACGTGTGGCTCAGCGACTGGACCAACGAGGCCGTGATAAACGGGACACAGCAGAACACAGCCATGCGCATCGGAGTCTATGCTGCCTTGGGCCTCTTGCAAGGTGAGACCAGATAAAATCACGATGTCTCAATGTTTAGGATGGATGTAGGTGGGAATCTACAGAAGGTGTAGATGGGAAAGCCTCGGCAGCAGTTGCTGATGGCCCAAAATTGCCCCCCAAGCCCTATCCTAAGCAAGGGAAGTAACATAACCTGGAGCTACAAAGTCTGAGCTCAGCCCAATGCTTTTTATTTTATTGTGAAGCTCTTGGAGGGGTTTGAATGGATGACGTGGAAGCTTGAGAGTTGGAGAGAAAAGACAAAAACTTAGGTGCAGAAGAGACTGAAGGGTTGGTGTGAAATTGTAGCATGAGGAGTCCATGGAGGCTTGCAGAAAGCAGGGGGAAGTGGTTGTGCACCTGTCTTACGTGCACAGCCTGGTGAAACCCTGCGGGACATGTTCCTGTGCCTCGGGCAGCAGCGACTGCAGCGCCGTGGTGCAAACATGTGCCGTACGAGAAGGGTGGACAGGGAATACAGTAAAGGGAAAAAAGGCTTGTAGCGCAACAGAAACTGCTGGGAGTCGAAGAGCTGTGAATCAGGAACATCATGCTCGCTGGTTAACGTGTCTCCTCTTACTTGTCAGCCCTCATCGTACTCATCTCTTCCTTCACCCTGGCCATGGGGGGCATCAACGCAGCTCGGACACTTCACGCTGCTCTTCTGGAGAACAAATTTCACACCCCACAGTCGTTCTACGACACGACGCCGACTGGCCGAATCATCAACCGCTTTTCGAAGGACATCTATGTGATCGATGAAGTCATCCCACAGACCATCCTGATGTTCCTTGGAACGCTCTTCACCTCTTTATCGACGACGATTGTAATTATAGCGAGTACTCCGCTCTTTGCTGTGGTTATAGTTCCACTTGCGATTCTGTACTTCTTTGTTCAGGTAACTGGAAAAATATCTGACTGCCATTGCAATGACTTATTCCATTGTTCATGTTTTGTTTAGGAAAAACCATGTGAGCGGGGGAGAAAATTGAAATATCTGAAGTAACTACGTTTTTGTGTAAACAAAACATTATTTACTTCTCTGAGAAAAAGAAAGATCCTGTGAAATGGGTTCATGAAATAAATAGACTTAACCTTTTTTTGGTTTTAAGTAATAACGAATAAGCCCACTGCTAGAGATAGAGCTGCAGCCCACTTTAATGTATTGAAGTGTGTATGTATTTGACATTGACAAGTTTTTAAGGCAGAGAGGAGTTAAAATGCTGAAAACAAAGAGCATCAATTTTACTGATTTCTGAGAAAAAAATGAAGCTTATATTACAGACCATAAATAGAGACCTGATAACAGAGGTGTGAATTCATGTTTCATTTTTTTGGAAGATGAGGCTTCTACAAATGGATTTATTTTTTCAGACTATATTACCTACATTTAAAGCGGCGTAGATAAATTCAGCTTGCAGTCTGCAGAAATTGCAGTTACCCAATGTAGAATGAAGCAAAGATAACTTTCTTGAAATTCTTCTTAACCGTAGGGAATGTTTTGGAGGGTTGAAGTGCATCGGTAACAATCTCCTTTAAATCCTTAATCTAAAAAATGCTTCACTGTTAATTAGAGGAGAAAGTGGTTCATGTACTGTTCAATTCTCTCCAAAAAAATGTAGCGGTTCTACATAGCTACCTCCCGCCAGCTGAAGCGCCTGGAGTCTGTGAGCAGATCTCCCATCTACTCACACTTCTCAGAAACAGTGTCGGGGGCCAGTGTCATCAGAGCCTACAGGCGAGTCAAGTCCTTCGTAGACATCAACGATCTGAAGATGGATGAAAACCAGAAGAGTTACTATCCCAACATAGTGTCAAACAGGTAAAAGGGCTTCTAAGCTCTTGTTCCCACTTTAGATAACCCTGTGTTTGCGTAACTGGTCCGAGCAACCCTTTACCACTCTGCCTTTGTACCAGGTGGCTGGGCATCCGAGTTGAGTTTGTGGGGAGCTGTATCGTCTTTTTTGCTGCCCTTTTTGCTGTGATTGGTAAAAACAATCTGAATGCAGGCTTGGTAGGACTTTCAGTATCTTACGCGTTGCAGGTACGTGTTAAAGCTTTCTGTTCGCTGGTGGGTTTGCATTTTTGTAGGTGGCATGGATATATTAGCAAGAATTTAAGTGCTTGTTAAAGCTAAATAAGGAAATAATATAAATGAGTTGTGGGACAGCAGGAAGCAGTAGAGACTTACACTGAATGCTGACAGACTATCAGCAAGCTCACATGCGGTAGGACTTCAGGGCGCTTTGGGAACATCAAGGTTGTGCTGCACCCCGGTGTCGCTGGCAGTGGCAGGGAAAGGAGCACGAAGCTCGGGAAATGTGAGGTGCCCCCACCAAGAACAGGTCATTTGAGCAGCGTGGGCTTAACGTGTCCTGCGTCATGCCTGCACATCTGTGTGTCCACACAGCACATCTGTGTGTCCAGGTGATCACAGGTGGATCAATAGGATTCATAAACAGGCAGGATAAGCTGTGCTCACCCAGGCTGTGGACAGTTCAGCAGATTTAAGGGCCTCGCTCTTGCCAGACATTTTTAGCTACCGTGAGTGTGCTGGATTGCTGTTAGCAATTTTCCAATGCGACCCATGGCTAGGGGAATGACTTCCAACCAACTTTTTTGGGAGGGCCATTTGTTAAATCACTGTGGGAGTCGTGATTCTTCATGTGAGCACCCGATTATCTGTAGATTTTCTGTAGATGTCCTGTCCCAGTAACTGTATTAATGTCAACACAAAGGTAATTATTCCATTTGTCATACCAATGTGAATCTATGTCTCAACAGCAGTGGCTGTTCTTGTTGTTATTACTACTAAATCTGTCGTTCCTCTGTGGGTGATGTTTTCTTCCTTATCTTCTCCAAGGTGACCTTGTCTCTGAATTGGATGGTCCGAATGACTTCTGAACTTGAAACTAACATCGTGGCTGTTGAAAGAATAAAAGAGTATTCAGAAACTGAAACAGAGGTCAGCTAACAAACGTGAAGCGTGCTTATCAACAAGCGTGGTGAAAATTTAATGCTCACATTTACATGGTCTTCCTTTAGACTCTTGAGAGACAGTTCCTGCTCTGAGAGTGTTGTCATTTAACCTGAGCAAATGTCACGCTCTGAACTGCAATTTGTGCTATCATAGCTCCAAATTATTACTGCTGTCATGCAGCCTGTGCTTAGCATCTCATTTTCTGCTCCTGTGAGTGGCTATAGCACAGGACAGATGAGTTTCACTGTTAGAATATCGCTCCCGTTGGGTTTAAAGCGTTTGATGCATCATCTTACCTGCATGGATGGTGCTGTGATCCTGCTCGTGAGCACAGCTGCGGTACGATTATCAGCCTGTGCACATGTTCTCAATAGTATTTCTGTTTGATCGGCTTAATCAGTCCTTGTCTCCCACGAGAGAAGAATATCTCTAGAACAGTGTACAGCCTAATCCAGGAAAACCTCCCAGTCGCTTACCTTTGTTGCCAGAGTCTTTCAAAGGTGGCTGATGGAGCCATGCTGGGAAATCTGCTGCTCTGTGGGCACACGGGGTTTTGTTAGCGCTGTGTACATGTTGGGAGACTAAGAATTAGGAAATGGAGGATCTGAGAGCTGCCTGTACGGTTCTGGAGATGGAGTATTTCATCTGGAACCCAAAAAGGTGGTTGGATACATGTTATAAACTAGAGCTTGAGCTGGGTGAAACAGGCAGTGTTGTATTAACGGGAAAAGTGTTAATTTGTATCCATGGAGGATTTGCCCCTTTCTGCTCAGACTTTTTTTCTGTAAACTTCCCAAGGAAGACCAAAATGGGTGGATATTTATGAACTCATGTTTCTTCCCCCATTATTATAAATGTATTTGATAAGGGAGATTTGATTTATCAGGTATGTTAGTAGTAACCCACAAATGTTAATGTTTGAGTTGGAATTAATTTTTCCTAAACCTATATTGAAGCAAGTGTGACTTCTGTTTCCCTTAGGCTCCCTGGACCATTGAGGGCAAGAGTCCCCCAGAAGACTGGCCATCCAAGGGGGAGCTGGAGTTTGTGAATTATTCAGTGAGGTACAGGAAGGGCCTGGATCTGGTGCTGAAGGGTCTAAACCTCCAAGTGCGCGGTGGAGAAAAGGTGAGTTACCAGCCGCGCGTTGTTGCTAGAACTTTGCTCTGGGCCTCCAGTGACAACCGCAGAGTAAAGGACAGGGTGGTGTGGAGACCTACTCAGGCTGACATCGCAGGAGCCAGCAGTGATGACGACGGTGTCGGTGCGCCAGCATTTTCCAGGCTGGCAGCAGTGGGACCAGGTGCACGGGGCTTTCTGGACTTTCCAAGTGAGGCTGGCAACAGGCTACCCCTACACCGCGTAGGAGGCACCGGTGCGAGTGACAAAAATTCAGTGACAAGAATGCTTTCCTGAAGCAGTGCAGATGGGAGAAGGAATTCCAGCTTTTTCCCCTCCTTGGCTTTCCCTGTGAAATTTTTGGCATGGAAGGAAATTAGATTCTTTGCTTCCTTAATCAGGAAATCGACTTTCTTCTGGGAGATTCACTTCTTCACGCTTCAGTTGAAAGTTCTGGGATTTGTGTGCCGGTGACAGAACAATTAGCATGGGGAAGTCCTCCATTTAACAGGCTGTTATTTAGAGAAGAGAGTTATCCTTACACCAAGCAGACAGGATGACAGCCGCCTTCTGGAATGGAGATACTGTACTTACTGTGAAATCTGAATTGCCCTCTGAAAAGCCTTTATATCTTGTCCGTGAGTGATTTGCCTCCTAGACCGCACTGCAGCTAAGCACCCCAAGTTCTGTAGGGTGGCTCAAGGCCTGTGTACATATTTAAATGCAATATCATTCAATTTATGGGAATGGCAGTATATACGTTGCAATGTATGAAAGGGGGTTCTAGGGAAGGATCGCTCTGTTCTTTCTTAGATTCAGATATTGTGTCAAACCTCTTAGAGGAATCTTGGAGGTTTGTCTGGGTTTGGGTGTTTTTGTTGTTGTTGCTGGGTTTTGTTTTGGTTTTAACTATATGCTTTGTTTTTAAACCTGCAATTTATTGTAGATTGGAATTGTTGGCAGAACGGGAGCGGGGAAGTCCTCCATGACGCTCTGTCTCTTTAGGATACTGGAAGCTGTAAAAGGGGAAATTAAAATTGATGGTGTGAAAATTTCAGAGATTGGTCTCCATGACCTTCGATCGAGGCTCACAATTATTCCTCAGGTACTGTTTCTGTGTATCACAACAGAAGAAGTATCTCTAACAGCTTAGCAAACCGTAAATAATGGTTTATCCACAGAGGAAAATGCTTTGTTACACTCAGAAACTTGTTTCAGGGAAACAAGCTATTTATGCTTTAAGTGGTCCTGTACTGCCACCTTATAAGCGGATGCTGGGTGATAAAACAGGATTTAGGATACAGCATCTTTACAGCTGGAACTGGAGTTTTAAGTGTGTACAATGTAATGTATTTTCAGAGTGGATGGGGTTGGGAGGTGGCCTCCCTGCAGTGCAATGGAGACTTCAGAGGAGGAGCTCAGAATATCTGTACTTAAAACAGCTAAAGCCCTTGTCTAATGAAAGTTGGTTTTATATTCAGGATCCTGTTCTCTTTTCTGGAACACTGAGGATGAACCTGGACCCCTTCAATAAGTATTCGGATGAAGAAATATGGAAAGCTCTTGAGCTGTCTCACCTGAAGAGGTTTGTCAGCAGTCAGCCATCCATGCTGGACTACGAATGCACAGAAGGTGGAGAAAATCTGAGGTGAGGAATGCTTGGACTAGAAACGGACACTGAGCTTTCAGCTGCAGCAGTGAGTAACACCTGAGCACAGGTGTGCACTGCAGTCTGTTGTGTCTGAAATTATTTACCACCCTCTCCTGTTTCAAGAAAACAACTAAGGCTCAAACATTTGCTTCCAAGGGGGCATTTGGTGGGTCTGTGAGTGCTGGGTCAGGCAGTGAGTGAACACATCCGCTAAAAATAGCTGAGTAAAGCTGCAGTAGGGATGACAGACCAGGCTGTTTGCTAAATGCTACTTTTTTTTTTATTTGGTAACTTTACTTGATGAGTAATCTACTCTAACACAAGTGATTCTGAGCACTGGAGAGATAAGGGCCGTGGGGCCTCGTTTGTGAAAGCCCCATCTCTGTTTGCAGCATTGGCCAAAGACAACTCGTCTGCCTGGCGAGAGCGCTGCTTCGCAAGACGAGAATCTTGATCCTCGACGAAGCGACAGCGGCAATCGATCTCGAGACAGATGATCTTATCCAGACGACAATTAGGATCCAGTTTGAAGACTGCACGGTGCTGACGATAGCGCACAGGCTGAACACTATCATGGATTACACGAGGTAAAAAAAAAATCTCTTAATGGTGCGTAGGGGGGTTCACTGGTTTACTGCGTATGTGAAGTAGCGCTTAAAAGGATCTGGTTTGTCTCTGGTAAGTCACACTGATGCTCTTGTCAGGTTGTACGTAAGCAATGACGTTTAAGCCATATGATCCCAGAATATCTGGACCCAACTTTGCTTCTGTTGGCGTAAAACCCAGTTTCTATATTCATTATCTAGAGCTGTGCAAGAGACACTGCCCAGTTGCACTAACAGCGCTGTCAGCAAGTTTTTGTAACTAGCAGCTGCTCTAACTTTTTCGCTAACATCATGTCCTATTAATTACTTTAAAATACATTACTACACTTCACGAGCTTTTATTTCCTTGGCTTTCTGCTACTATATTTTCAATTCCAGAACCACCAATATTGACACTTCTGCGTTTTTTGTTGTGTGGGGTTTTTTTTTTCCTCCTTATTACTCCTGGGAGACAGTGGCTGTCCTGTACTCTTTTAAATCAAACAGCAGCTGAGACAGACTGTTTATTGTGTCGTGTTTCAAGGTGTGAAAATAATTGAACCAAGCAAAGGCAGGGCAAAGATTAGAGCAGTTTGCTTTGTGACGAAAAGGGGTATCGCGTTTCTTACACAGAATTCTCTGACGTGTCTCCCCCCGCCACCACCTTTTGTTTTGCACAGGGTTCTTGTTCTAGACAACGGCACCATAGCTGAATTTGATACACCAGCAAACCTTATAGCCTCAAAGGGTGTTTTCTACAGTATGGCCAAAGATGCTGGACTAGCATGAAAAGAAGACCCCTTGGGGTTTTTTTGGGTTTTTTTGTTTGTTTGTTTGTTTTGTTGTTTTTTTAAAAAATATTACTGACTTGCCACGAAAGTGACTTGTGAATGTACTGTAATTTACAAAACAGCTTTTGTAGTAGACTAAACTTGTGATATGTGAACAAAATATTTTACAAGGATCAGAAAGTTGATTTTATATTTTTAAATATTTTCTATATGCATAAAATATTTTATATGCTTTTTTTTTCCCCCAAAGAATGCCAAACATTCTGCCAAGAAAACCTATGTATCGCAGGGCAGTATGTACTGTATTCAGGTTTACAATTAGTAAATTATAATAATGGTACAAAATACACCTGGTTTGTGTGTTTTCTGCATGAGGCTTCACTGAAGTGGAAAGGCAGGCCTAGTTAGGCAGCAACGCAGCTGAAAAATAGTGAAATAATGTGTAATCGCTGAGTGTTCCTTTTGATATTTCCCCAGGACAAGGGGGTTGAATGCTCTGGCCTCGGCGCTGTGAGCTATCCCAGGACCTTTGGTATCCCTGCCCAGGGTAACTTTAGCGTTGTAAAATTCCTCTGCAGCGTAAGAATTACGAGTAACATGTATTTAAAACTAAAGCTACAGATGGCTTAATGTAAACCATTAACTTCACCGTCTCTATCAATTCAGCAGACTCCACATAAGCCTGCAGGGACACGACTGGCACAGAAGTGCCGTAATTTTCCTGTATCTCCCCTGTGTGAAGTCACTGTAAGTCCCCACTTACGCTGCACATGCACGCTGTGCAGATGTGGCTATAATTTATCTAATTCGGCACTTAATCACCTGAAATAATGTGTGATTTGCTTTGCAGAAATAACTATCTACCTTATTATTGATAACCAAGCCTCCTCAGGTAAAAGGGGCTGTGTTTAAACAACATTTGCTGCTAGAGTCTGAGGGAACATCTTTCGCCTTAGCTGTTCACTTCCTACACCAAGCACTCTAGAAACCTACACGGCAAGATGAAGTTCCTACATTTTTCCACAAGTTTGGGTAAAAAACAGTGAGAAGACAAAAATCCTCATTTATTAATTCTTACAAATGATACATCTTAAATAGAAACAAGAACCTGCAGCCAAGCATTCATTTGGCATTAACATTTCATAGAGCAGAGCACAAAGTAATGAATTATTTATCGTACACAGTTACGAAACAATTACACGCTGATCAGCTTGTTAGAAGCGTTAATAATATCTTCTGTGTATAAACTGCATAGGGTGTAAAAATACTCCTCGGAATGCACAGAGAGCGGTCAGCGTCTGTGCAAGATAATCAGTGCAACGGGGGAGTCACCAACGCAGTAGCTGAGCTTTTCTCTAGTAGGTCTGACTGGTCCGGCCTCGTACTTGCATGGATTTAGCTGGCAGCCGGTGCCTAAACCCTGCGTGTTCCAGGGCCAAAGTGCGATCCGAGGAACAACCCTTATTCCGTTACGCAGCAGTTAAGGGAGCACCAGCCACCCCAGGTACAAACCCGATACTGCCAGCACCCCGCACCACACCTGACCGCCAGCGTTTCTCCCAAGAGGCTATTTTGTGGTGACAAAATGTTCTCCTGCCAGCCTTAGGAGACCAAGTGTCGGTCTGCTCAATGGCACACGGGGAACTGGGGGGTTCGCACGGATCTGAGCTTCCAGGTGCGCGCTGGACATCCGACCACAAGGCAAAGCGCGAGAGGGCTCCCTCTTGGGTGCTCGGTCCCTCCGGCAGAAGCAGCAAAGAACCAGTCACTGGATGAGAAAGAGAGAGCGCGAGTCAATTCGGGTCCCGGTTCCGATTGTGTTAGCTGGAATAGAAGTGACTGTGCTGACCACAGGGGAACAACGAACTTCTTTGCCTGCCCCAGCCTCTGTGAAAGGAGGTGTTGGTGGATCCTTAAGGCCACCCAAGGGCCCTCACCTGCGGCGGCAGGAGCTTCACCTTGAGTTCTGGCCTCAGCGTTGCCTCTGGCTCACGTGGGGGGCTGCCTGCCCAGCTTCCTACTCCCAAATCCCATCTGCAGGTCCACACACATTGTAGGCGACCTGGGCTGGAAGTTCTTAGACAAAAAGATGGCAACATCCTTTGGCTGCTGCAGTTTCCAGCGAAACCGGGGAGGGGAAGGCCGGGGGAAGATTGAGAAAATGAGGGAAATTCGGTCCACTTTGGTACGTTCTGTTTGCCTGTTACATCTCGTACTTCGGTTCATTCAGCTAATTCACAGCATTTACAGTTATGTTACCAGAACAGAACCCTTCCTCAAATGCAAATGGTTGAGTAAATACTAAAATCCTAAAAAATTAGATAAAACTCATCTCTTAAATACTTTTCAATTTATTTAATCCAGTAGTAGTCCAATTCTGACTTTTAAGTAACAGGAAAGGTTTGGGTTGGTTTTTTTTCAGTAAACAACGTGGGTAAACACAAATCATTGAGGGAAAAAAAAGAAAATACATTGCATAGGAACATCGAGGTTTAATATCAGCCCAGAAAGTCCTGGGCATTTCACTAGTTTCTTTTTACATAGGCAACTTTAAGGGTTCGAGACACAATCTTTCTCAGGAATGTAGAGGTAAAAGGAAAACAAAATTACAGCTTTTGTGCTTTTAAAAGGGGAAAATAAAGCAGCATTGGAGAGACATGTTGTCAATACAATAACAAGAAAAAGTATTTTCAACTGCATATGTCAATACTATATATTGACAGACAACAATAAACGGTATTTTGGTTGAGAGCATATTTATGATTTGGATAATTACTATCGGTTTTTTATTTTCAACCTGAGAAATAGGGAAAAGTGTAAACAAGGATTAAGAAATCACAGGTAATAAGTCACTTGACAGTATTTAAACTAAACACAGCTTTGTGCTTCTTCCTCAGACTTGAACCCTTCTGGTTTGTTTTTTTTTTTTTCTTTCTGAATAAGATGCAATTTAGAATACACAATCTAAAAAGTGAATGTTAATAGTAACAGACTCGGTACAAATATTAAATGGACTTCATGGCAGGTTCTTTAGCTTGAGTATCTCTGCTATTTACAGCAAACAAATTAGAACAGTTTAAGGTAAGCCTTTCCCTGAGAGCTGCTACCTCTGCAGTATTTCAAGATTATCTTTTGTAAGAAGTGTTGCGTTAACAGATATTTCTACCAATACTTTCTTTGCATTAAGCTACTTTCACATCAGACCCATTACTCTTAGATTAACTAAAGGCTGTAACTGTGCATAATGACTTTAGTTTATTTCAAGTTAACAAAATAGACTTTTTCATATCGTTAGCCCTTATAGATACTCTATTTCAAACTTAATTTTTAAATGAGAGATACAAATCTTTTGCTTTATTCTTTAAACAATTAATATGTAAGTTCTGATGCCTTCTTGTTATAACCACTCTGTTCAGAAAGTGTTGGGACTCTGAAAAGCAAGTTTTTGTCGCTTACTGTTAGAACAAGCTCCAGTTCTTGGAAATCCTGTAGTCTTGCAACATCTTTGTCCTTTAAATAAATACAATACGTTGTTAGGTCATAAATTGCCCAGTGAATTTTGCAGAGGTAAGTTAAAATAATAGGCTCATGCTAACACAAGGCATATGACGATTCTTTAGAGTAAACCAGGAAGCAGGCATCCTGCTGCATCTTGTATTTACCCTGTCACCTCATCAGCTACTTGCTTAAGTCTATTTTTAGAAGGAACATGACACTGATGGCGAGCGATCAGTGGAATTACACTTGTAAAGATCTACTGCATGCCACCCCCAACTCCTCTTTTTCTCCCCCTCAGTAGCTCTTAGAAGCTCATGAATTGATTCTTGCATCCACCCAAGAAGGTCCCACACGCAGCTTCCTCTGGAGCAACCCCCTTGCTTTGGCAAGGTCTGCAGAGAGCGGTGGAAGTCACCCTCCCACGGTGCAAGCTCGAGCTCTGACCCCCTCTGCAGCAGCTCTCTGCTGCTAAACAGCATTAAAGAGAATTAGTTTTGTATCAGCTCAAGGAACAAGAAATGTCCTGCAGTCCTACCCAGAGAGCCTGAAGTAATTAGAGCTGGAAATAAAAATCAGTCCTTTCAACAACATCCTAAGTTGGCAAGTGACAGAATTGCTTGTCTTCTTACCCCTCCCCAACTTCTTGACTAACAAAGAGTAAGTCATCCTATAGTCAGTGAAGATGCAGCACAGTGAAGCCTGTTAATCTAGTACTAATCAGATTAGCTCCACGACTGACACCAACAATGCTCCAGAGGGATCTGCGAGTGAAAGAAAGGTCAACGGTGAATCAGTAGAACGGGTCAGCAGGTTCATTTTCTGTTTGCTGCACAGGTAAATGTTGCTGAAGTGAAAAGGCAGTTACGTTCAGAAACCCGCACACAGAGTAATTCCCAAACGCCTTTCTGGTTTTTGAAAGGACTGCATTCAGTCCTCGCTGCTGAGCAAAGGAGCAAAGCTCTTGTGAGTCCTGCAGGCCTTTAAAATGCTGATGACAGGTCCCAGAGGTGTGGTACCGCACTGAATTTAAGAATGTAGTAGAGAAATCGGGTATTAATTGGGCTCGACACCAAATATTTATGAAAGGAAATGATCAAGAAACCTGAGAACCTTCTTACTAAAAAAAACCCCTAAACCCTAAAAAACCCTAAACAACTGCCAAGTGCTGAAATTTGACAGAAGGTTTTTCTTTTCTTTTTTTTTTTTCAACATGGGCCTATGCAGGTGACCAATAAATTATTCCTTTTTAATGGTAACCTAAAGACCTTTTTTGTAAGTTACTGCACTTCAAAACTGAGAGTTCTTACCTTTCTTAACATTGTATTTGGTAATTTTCTGATCTTCTGTACGTGCTCAGGATTAACACCCAGCTCACGGCAACTCACTCGGAGCAGTTCCTTGTAGGTCAGTTCTTGTCTATCCAGTTCAATTTCAATGAAGTCATTTTCTCTAAGATTCGGGTTTTGTATTCTAACTTTAAGCACCAGTTCTGTTAGAAATAGGAAGTTACATTAGTGGGCAGATGTATAAAGGAATTGGAAAAGATATCTGTATATTAACTTCCAATATTTCTACACTCTCTTAACATTCTTTGAATCATCTGTAACAACAGAAGAATCCTCAGAAAGTGAACAACTGGACTTATATGACCACGATTTTCATTAGATTGACATTCATCAACCTATATGAAAAAAACATTACAAATCTAATACTCTGTGTGTGTGTGTATGTATTTATGAACCTCTCTGTGAATACTCACCTTACTGGCTTTAAGCTAACTTAAACCCAGACTACACTGGTTATCAATTTCCTAAGTAATCCAACATTGCTTTTGTTGGGTTTTGCTTCTTTTGGGCATCGTTTCCATTGTTATTGCTAATTCTTGGTATCAGAACACCTTTTATTTCGAGAACGGAATTCTGAATTGAAACTGAAATTCCAGGTTTCCCTGTCTGAGCAGGCAAAATTTCCCTGCAGAAATGGCAGATGGTGGAACAGTTCACCTCAAGACTCAGGTCTGAAGACGGAGGCACGCGAGGTTCTCTCCTGGGCTCACTGGCTGCGCGCTGACGTTCTTTACTTGAAGCTCGCAGCGTGCTATTTAGACAATTAGATTACCCTGGTGTCTGTACGCTTTTAGAGCATGAGACAAATGTTTCACCAATATTTTCGTAACAGTTCCAGCAGAAGCAGGCGATCTGCCTCCTGCCTCTTTAATTCCCTTCAGATGTTTCCTAACACCCAAGTATAGGAACCTGAAAATCTCCAGGAGTGCTGTGAACACGTGTAACCCTGATTAGTGTATTTTCACTGACCGAGACGACAGAAGTTCTAAGACAAAAGTGAGAGAGGACTTTCACCGTTACCTTGCATATTAAGTGGAAAAGCTCCTGTGAAGAAAACCGGCTGGAATGCTGGCACCGGCCCTGGGCAGGAGCCGTTCTCCTGCTGAGGCACGGACTGATTTGATCCAGCTGGTGAAGGGGAGCTTCTGCTCCAAGACACCGAGCCCTGGTAAAGCGGAGCCCTCGGAAGGAGGGGTTGTGCGTGCGGCGGCACCGAGCATCCCCGGGGCAGGGATGGGCCTCCGGGACCAGCCACCGTCTCGAGAGCGGCGCTCCTGAGCTGGAACGGCGCCCGGGCGCAAGTCTCCACGTCAGGTAAGGAAGAAGAGTCGGGGTCTTGCAGGTCTAAATGTGAGATACTCCCGTTCACGGAGGGGTCTGGGATACTGTCACTCATGGTGTTATAAACGTACGGGAAAGGTGGGTTGGCCAGGTAATTGGGGATGATTGGCAGATCTGAATCTTTCTTTAAGTCCGGGAGTTCGCCATCTTCCACTGTAAAACAAACAAAAGAACAGTCTCCAAGACTGGTTTGAGGGTGGGGAGGAAAAAAGAAAAAGAAAGAAATACTGCTATTGCACTATAGGATATTTTTCCCCTTTTATTTATTTATTTGTATTTTAAGTGAAGAGAGTAGAGGGCTAAAAGCATCACAGGTTAAAAAATGAATCAAGAAGCACTATACATTTTTTTTCCCCCCTACAGTAAAGAGAGCTGTGCTCAGGTGTTGCAATACCATAAAAGCAGAGTCTGATTCTAGTAATTCTGGAGGTGGTGCTTCCTTTTAAGCACTGCAATCCGTTTGTGTTGTTTTAACCTGTAGCCAGCACGTTGCAGCGTGGTCTCTGGCAGTATAATGCTCTCGTCTTCATAATGTATAAGGCAATGAAAAACAAAGGGGAATATGTTGTTCGATATTAAGGCGGGGGATAAAGAGAAAAGAACACGCAGTACTGGGAGAGCTGAAACATCACCAGTTCAACTGGAAGACAATAATGAAAACAAAGCCAGACCAGAGAATAGGAAAGAAGTGGTTAATCGACCACATTTCAAATTACTTATCACCTCTGGCGGCAAAGCCTATCCCGCTCCAACGGTTACCAAAACACGATAAAAATGCTCAACCAATGCCCTTAATGAGCTGTTTCTCTGGGCTGCTAATTTTCCATTTATTCAACAGAGTGTCTAAGCTCCACCGTGTATCTAAGCTCCACAGAGCATCAGGAAAATGAGGTGTTGCTCATGTAAGGGCTTCAGGCAAACCTGAGATAATTTCTCCTGTTGTTCTTTTGAAAATCGGAAGCTGCATCCATCACTGGTTTAATTGGGGCATTTTTCACAATAGAGTTTTTCCGATTTTTCAGTGTTTAGAAAAAAAGTTTGGCTATCTGGATTTCTCATCAAGTAAACATTCTAGAAATCAGGGCACAGTTGTTCCTAGAACACCACGGTAATCTTTACAGGCAAAATAAAGATGGGAACACACGTGCTTTTATCTGCCTTTTACTACAGTCGTGCGCATAGCCGACAGATTTACCTCCCAACATCTTCCTTATCTCTGTTTTTGATGTTAACTGGGCCGGTCTTTCTCCTTTCTTGGTGAGGATCTCCTTGTCGGCACCGGCGTGCAGCAGGTGAGCCACCACCGGAGCATGGTTCCGTTTGCACGCCCAGTGCAAACAAGTCCTGCACGGGGAAAATGTTAACATGGTTTGAAATCCTGAATTACTGCAGATTCATTTCCACTCATCCTTACCACCCGTGAGAAGAACAAGACCTAGTGCATGTCTAACATAAAAAAGGTTTTAATTGCAAGCTCTCTTGGAAATTCACACTGGTTTTGGAGCCTGCAGTGACACCTGCTGATCTAGTTTTCCCTTGCTCTTGATACCAAGCTAACCACAGCAGTATTTTTGAAGTTTAAGATCTTTTCAATATGTCATTTATTAGGCTACTAACTCCTCTGGAAAATCAAATACAAATAGCAGGCTTGTGTATGCTCTTTTAATCTTTGAAAGAAGGAGTTGTACTTAAGATACTTTTTTGTGTGTGTGTGTGTTTATGTGAACCAATAGGGATACTTGGCTAGGAAGCTATTTTTACTCTTTAATTCATGCTGTCAGCACAATGACTTCCACATTTCTGAAAGTAAACAATGTTTAAAATCCTGCAGGTGTAGTTTCTAAGCACATTTCTTTGCTCAGTTGCTCTTTGCTGCACGTGCAGCCCCTGAGGTTTGATCTGCAGATGAGTTATCTGCAATCAGATTCTGAAACAAGCCCCATGAAACTCAGACCAGGTTTGTTCAAGTTTTTTGTGCACTGTGGTCTGGACTTTTCACAAATATCTCCTTGCAAAATGAGTGTGAACAGCCTGTGTGAATTTGGAAGTAGCGCACTGCGACGTTGTAAACGAGTTTGGACCAAAGCAGTGGGGAAAAGCTCAGACAGCAGCGGGGCCGTGTGTGATCCGAGCCTGAGATCTGCAGGTTTAGTTTGTAGGGAAGGCAGGAGAGCCTCCAGAGCATCGGCCACATTTCAGGATCCATCCCGGCCACTTCACGTGGTCTCACGCAGCGAGGTACCCGCTACCTATAGACCCGACGCATCAAAACGTGAGTACTTGGCACCTCTTCGCATCAGAGATATCAAGGTTATTGGAGAAATTTAAATTCTATACGCAAAGTTAAAGGTGAAGATCCATTTATTGCCATAGTTAAATAAGACCAGATCACTATCTAAAAAAAAAAAAAATTATACACGGCAGATTTCTGTCATCACTTCTAATTTTAGAAAGAAACTCATTCTGATGACACGCAGCTCTGTATCTTACACACTAAGATAATTCAACATGTTATGAATCAGTTCTCCTAAATTTTTACAAGTTCCAATTTTAATCCCCACACTTGGAACCTTAAATTGCAAGTGTCCCACGCTTCTCAAAAGCTCTGAAGGAGCCTACATCTTTAAAAGTCTAGCTCTTTTCCTAATTTTATTCCTCCTATTCGTCATTATAACTGCAAGCACGGCACAGCAAATACAGGCTCAACTGAGCTTACAGAAAACGGTCCCCAAAAATGCCTGAGCATCCCCTGGAGCTCCTGCTTCAAGGAATATTTTGCGTGTGTGTTCATGTATGGAATCCTGCCGTACAAGTGTCTGGTACAGAAAAACCTCGGGTTTAGCATGGTGGTATCTGAACGCGATGTCAAAACCAAAACGTTTATTTTTATCGCTGAAGCTTGAAAGGGAAAGTCATTTTCGAACCCGGTCTGGGAGTTAATAAAAGAGTATTTCTGGGTAGAGGCGAACACGCGTTGGCAAGCCGAGGTGTCTTTAAAAAAAAAAATATATATATAAAAGAAAAACAAAAGTTCGTGCCCCGGGGAAGCA